CATTCTTTTGGGCAACTCGGAGTTCCTGATGCCTCAGGAGGAAATGCTGTCCCACAGAAAATTAAGGTGAGGTGCTATCAGCACAAACATTTAAATTCACCATTATGTCCAGTTGTATGATGATTCCTTCCATATGCCACTTCACTGTGGATCAACAGCTTTTGATGTTTCCTTTGTATCATGCATGCTGGACTACACGTTCAATCATCAGTTCTGAAAATTTCAATAGCATGGATAAAAAATACTGTTCTGTATTGTAGAGTTGTCAAAGAGAATGTAAATATGTTTTTTTCTTCCTTGTTCCATAGACTATACAGGACAAAGTAGTGAATGTTGCTTGCTGGGGCTCAGACATGCAGTAGCTGTAACTGGTGAGTTATTCATACAGTACATAGTTCCTTACTAAAAGTTGCAACCATGTAACAACATAAAAACTGTTACACTGTCTCAGATGATGGGTCTGTATCCACAGCTTTAATTGTTATGTGATTTAGAGGAAGCTGTGAAGCAATTAAAAATACTTCATCCCCAGTTATTCACTGACAGGCTGATACCTCAGTCTCATATACCTTAGAAGTCTGCTTATAATCACTTGCTGTTATCCCTCGTGTTCCTCATCAAGGTGGGTTGATATTTCATGTTAGTTTGTAAATTAATTAGGAAGGCCTGATAGCGACATAGTTTCTGACACCATGCAAGCCCTAGCACAGTGTCTGAGGTAGTGGTGCATATCTAGCTGTGGGTTCCCCCACCCCCCAAGAGCCAGACAGAGAGGCCTAGACCAGTGTTTCCCAACCTTGGGCCTCCAGCTGTTTTTGAACTACAATTCCCATCATCCCTGACCCACTGGTCTTGCTAGCTAGGGATGATGGGAGTTGTAGTCCAAAAACAGCTGGAGGCCCAAGGTTGGGGAAACACTGGCCTAGACGACCACATCAGGTCCCCATGCCTGAGGTTCCCCACCTCTGCATTAGGAGGCCCCTTGTGTTTGCAGGTCACCTCGGTATACATAGCTTCAGTAAGTGTCATAAGTGTACATGGGCTTGTCATCATCACTTAAGGAGTGATTGATATGGCACAGTCACAGAGAGAATCTTCAACTGGCAGAGCTTTGTCATAATTACCAAATAAGTGCAAATAGCCTGTCAGCAAATTCCATGCAAGTTTCTCCTGTGGTTTATGACATTATTCCCTGGACTCTTGAGAAGCTTACAACCGTTTCACAAATTACAGAGGGGCAAACCTGAACCTGCCACCAAATCTCCAGGAAGCTGAAGATAATTGCAGCTCTGTCTATGTGTGTAATAAACATTGGCCTTATTCATTTATTACATGAGGTATCTGCTTAATATATTAATGTACACCTTAAAAACAAGATGCGTGAAGTTGTCTCGAACCTAGGTAAAGGGACCCCTGACCATTAGGTCCAGTCGTGGCCGACTCTGGGGTTGCGGCGCTCATCTCGCTTTATTGGCCAAGGGAGCCGGAGTACAGCTTCTGGGTCATGTGGCAGCATGACTAAGCCACTTCTGGCAAACCAGAGCAGCGCACGGAAACGCCGTTTACCTTCCCGCTGGAGCGGTACCTATTTATCTACTTGCACTTTGACGTGCTTTTGAACTGCTAGGTTGGCAGGAGCAGGGACGGAGCAATGGGAGCTCACCCCGTCACGGGGATTCAAACTGCTGACCTTCTGATGGGCAAGTCCTAGGCTCTGTGGTTTAACCCACAGCGCCACCCGTGTCCCTGTTTCGAACCTAGCGTACTGTTATTTGGGGCGTTGAGAATTTTTCCTTCTAGATTGTTTTGTTGTTCTATAATTTATGTGTTAACGTTTTCCAGGTTAATATTTGCACTAGTAAAAATAGTAACCCCCCCCAATGTCTTTTAGCAGGGGAATATCCTTTAACATGAATATTTCATTTTCCTTTTGCATGTACATGCTGAAAAGAAAATGGCTCAGTTTTCCAGTGGGGAGTTGGCATGGCATCTCAGGCGAAGCGGGCATGCCAAGGACAGATGGTTCCATCTTTTTGGAGGGCTAAAGAGCCTTGCAAAGTAACAGGTTTGTTATCTAAATATTTAAGGTATGGATCAAGTATGTCATGTGCAAGCAAGGGGTCCACAAATTTTGGCTTGCCTTAGTAGCCAGCCATTATTTGTGGCTATACCCAATGATACTGATCACTCCACTCCTAAGTCCTCAGATGCTGCTCTGTTGTTGCTGTAATAGCATGTATCGCATTCCCTTAGCACTCTCTGATTCCATTCCCAACCAGCCCAAACACAAACCCCAGCCATATACTCAGCACCTGAGACTCTGTCTTTTGCAGAACACATCACTCAGCCCAGAGAATGCCCAGCACAGAAAGAGTCAGATGTAGTGTTTTAATGGTGAACTTTTGGATGTTGATCCTGAACTGTCCTTTATTATTATTGTTGCAATGCTTCTTGCCATATAAGCTTTTATCAGTAAGCACCAGCACCTTGAATTGGCCCTGGAAACTAACTGGAACCTACTGTTGTTGACATAAAACTTATGCAACATGATCCAAGAAGAATCCACTAGGAAACAAACTTTCAATCTCAATTTATTTGCTTTCTTTTCTGAAGAAGAGAAGTATGTTGCAATCTGTATAAGTACAGTCCCTTCCCAGTTGGATTTTTCAGAAGTTTTTCCCCGGAGGGCCTCAGTCAGAGGGAGAAAGGAGAGAAATGGAGGGAAAAGAGAAACCATGGGAAACAAATGGTGAATGAAGAAATGGATAGTTTACGCCCTATCCTGGCCTTCAGGTTCCTCTTTGTCAGGAACAAGATACAAAACACATCTTTGTCCTTGTCTCAAGAAGAGAAAACTGGGAATATGGATTTATTCTTATAGCAGCTAAAATATGTTAACGCTGGGAATTGGTCTGACAGTTTCTCATGTACTTTGCAGTGTTATGTTAAGATGTTTACATCACAAATCTCTTTTGTCAAATAACATTGTTTGAAAACTCTTGTTATCAGGCGGAGCTGGTGAAATTGATATACAGTGGTACCTCTGGTTATGAGCTGAATCCGTTCCAGAGATCTGTTTGTAACTGGAAACCATTCTTATCCTGAGGCACGCTTTCGCTAATGGTGGCTCCTGCTGCGCACGTGCTTCTAGTGCGCAATTTCTGCTCTCATCCTGGGGCAAAGTTCCTAACCAGGAGCAGCTACTTCCAGGTTAGCAGAGCTCGTAACCTGCAGTGTGTGTAACCAGAAGCATTCATAGCCAGAGGTACCACTGTAATAAACACACAGATGGCACTTTGAGAGGTTATTCCTTCTGCCCAGGAACTGGAGTTCTGGTCATTTCGCCAAGCTGGCAATGAGAGCCAGTTGTATGCTCAGGAACAATATACCTTCTGTTAGGAATGTTTTAAGCATTATGATCCCTTCCCTGCCTCCTTGACACTGATTGCTGTTAGCAGGTTGAACTATCCACTGTCCTCTTGTGGCTTGCAGTTGCTGAATGCACCAGTTAAGAGCCAGTACCCAAAAAACTTGCAAAACTTGCAACCCTTTCCCCTTTCCCGTTTTGTGGAGTGCTGAATAATACGCCAAATCAAAATGTATTTTAGGTCTGTTTACATTATTAGGCTCTGCACAGTAACAATATGTTCCTTAGCTCATCCTCACCCCTCTCTCTCCCCTCTTGGCAGTGTTGTTCTCTCCTTGTGGCCTTGTACTCTTCTCTGATAGCCTAATTAACCACCCTATGGTTGTCGAAAGTTAGTGGTCCCCTTTTCTTTTCTTTAATATCTTTGATGCATATAGATGAGCTCTGATCTATAAAATTAGTTGGGGAGGTAGTAACCTGACATGGCCCAAGTAGCTTCCCAAAGAGCCTGCACAAACAGCTTTTGTTAGCTCTCCTATGCAGCTGTGTGTTGTGTTGTGGCATTCTGTATTCCAAAGGAAGTATCCCTCTCCAGCTAACAGAAAATAATGGGTTATTGTCCTAGGTCTAGAAAACATCAAAATAAAGAGCATCACTTCTGGGTCGCATCATGTCACATCACTCACAGGTGAGTTTCTTTTGTATGGTTGGCTGTAGCTTTGGACAAAGTGATGTCTGTCTGTTGAACCATGAAAAATATTTTGTCTCTGAGACTAGTTCATCCCCTTTCCTGTAAGATGTGTGTCCCCGTTTTTGTTCAGATTTAATCTAGCTGCCCTCATAACATGCTTGCTGCTCCTGCCACATTTAAAACAGGCTTGTGACCCTCCTCGAACATACAACATGTATTGCATAGAGAATTAAGTTGCAGCTCCAGTTGTGTTACACAGAAATATATGCTTTTTGTGCTGTAGAGTCTGTTGCCACTTTAAAAAATTGAGTGCATTACTTTTCTTAGAATGTTTGTTCATCTGTTTCAAAGATTAGACAGAGAACAGATGTGCAACTGTAAAATGACATTTAGTCAACATTTTTGTGTCCTTTAACTTCCCTTTTTTTAATATGTTCCTTTTCTTCTTTAAGATGAAGGAGAGTTATATGTTTGGGGGAGCAACAGACACAAGCAGTTAGTGAGCAAAGATGATTTTCTTTTGAAACCCCAGAAGATAGAAACCCACTATTTTGGGGGTGAAAAGGTCAGAAGAGTCTGGAATGGATGGACGCACATGGTGGCACAGACAGGTAGGACATCAACTGCAGATGCTGCATATAAAAATACTTTGTTTACCGAAAGTGATGTTTGGAATGGTTTCTAAAAAAAGTGCTTTCAGGTTGAGTTGTTTGGACAGTGTGGCAAAAAACCCTGCATTTAGAAATGTGGGAAATGTGTGATTTAGACTTTAGGGCTGAACTGTGTTGGTTCCCCCTCCCCAAAATTGCCGAAATTCCCAATTTGATGGTTGTTCTGCCAGTGCAAGCATTTCTGCTTGTTCTGCTTGACAGACAGGACGATTTCCCTCTTCTTCCTCCATGCATTGTTCTGGGAGTTCTCCCGACCTTCCAGTGCAGATTTGTGGGAGGAGGGAGTGGTCTTGTTGAGCTGGCAGGAGTCCTTATGCTGGCTTCCACTAGTGCACTGGGTTAGGTGAATCCAGTTCCAATTCAGAAGTAGTACCTGGGATATGGAAAGGAAGAAGAAGGCAGGTTTGTTGCATGAGTTGCTGTTTGAATAGCTTTGCATCCTTCTGAGGACCAGTAACCGGTTGCCCAGGGAAACTCCCTCCCCAACATCGTAGCCTGGTTCAGTCAAAACACCCCCACCAGCAAAAAAATACACCCCTAATTTAAATGTTAAAAATTGAGAGGGGGTCTTGATGAGTGCCAAGGAGGGTATATGAGGGTGCCATTGTGCCACCTCTTTGCATGTGCTCTGCGCTTGCAGGCTGCATTGCCAAAGAACTGCAGAAGTGCGCAATCAAAGCTGAAACTTGCTGCTTATCGTTTATATTTCTCATGATGATGAGGCTGGGCTCTGTAATGCTGCCGATGTAAATTAGGTTACATAAGGATAACGTAGAAGTTGTTTGACTGAAGGCAGTCCTAAATATAGCAGAAGGGTGGTGAAGAACAGGAGAGAGAATGATAGTCTTAAGCCTTACAAAAGGTGAGTCATCCTCCGTTCAGAACAAGTGCTTTCCACAAACTGGTATGGCTGATAACGAAGACAGCTTTAATTAAGGAAGTTTATTTATCTCGGTGTTCTCTCAAATAAATCCATTAATCCGTTTGTCATGTACTATCAAATCAAATTACTGTAAAATTGGGTAAAGAAATTCTTGGTACAACCAAAGACTTACAAGCTCCTTCCCCAGAAGGGTTATTTTTTCTGCTGTAAAAATCCAATGGGAGCTGTAAAGAGTCTCAGAGGAACGACGCACCATCATGCCTCTGGGGAAACAGCACAATAAAAATCTTTTATTATTTATTTTAAATATTTTTATCCTGCTATTCCACTGAAAAAGACTCTCAGAGTGGCATACAACGATCAACAACAACAGTTTTCTTATTTGTACCCCGCCTATCTTACTGGGTTGTCCCAGCCGCTCTGGGTGGCTCCCAGCATATACAGAAGCCCCATAGGCTTCCAGTCTAAAATGTATTTAGAAAAGGAAAATGGATGGGGAGGAGGAAGAAAGTATACTCAGGCATTACCGCTTATTAGTTGGGAAGGGCTGAAGCAAGCTCTCTGCAGCTGCTGCTCCTTCAGCTTATAGTTGGGCTCCAAAATTGCTCCAGCCTCCATGCCAGGGAAGAAGGGGTAAGGGGAAGATCGACATCAGGAGGAAGAATAGTGAGGAGGATGATCTACATTGGTATTTGCTGCCCTGGTGAGCCCAGCCCCTGAGGCAGTCACCTCTCCTTGCCTCATGGGTGGGCTGGTCCTGAATAAAGATTACACCACATCTGCTGCCCCTGTGGATCCTGCTGCCCGAGACAGCTGCTTTACCTTTACTTTTAGGTGGGCTGGCCCTGGTAGGCATATTGGCCTTTTGTACTAAAAACAGCAAGACAATACCATCTGTATACTTGCTTGAGAGTAACCCCACCAAACCCAGTGGGCCTTACTTCTGTGTAGGGTTGAGAATTCTCCTCTGAGGTAGCCATGGTGAAAACAAAGAACGGAGGATCTTTCTTTCCCTTAATTGTTCATCTAGAACGTATTTGTCTTTGCCCAACACCAACATGAGGCCTCCAACAGATTACTTGCTTTGGGGGAAAGGATTGTGTAGAAATTTAATAAATAATAATAATAATAATAATAATAATAATAATAATAATAATAATAAAATAACAGAGCTGAAGGAATTTGGTCCTTAACAGAAAAAAAGTTGCTCACACTTACTATAGACTGAAATTAAACTACTTGGTGTAAATCACCAGCATTCTTTTTGGAAATTAGCACTGTATTTTTCCTTTCTTCCCTACTGCTCCTCTTCTCAATGTTAAATTGTAGTGTTCAAGTCCTTGAGGGACAATGTGGTGCAATGGATACATCACTGGGGTTTGTACATGGCAGATCTAGGTTCAAATTACTGCTAGTCTGTCATTAAGTGATATTGGCAGAGGTATGGTCTCTTCTCAGGAAGGCTTTCTTTATATCTCTTTCAACACCTTTTTAATGCGAGGAAAAGTCTTTAAAAAAAACAAATTCCAGGCATTTACCATCTGAGGAACTTTACCATATGATTGTGTCATTGCCACTTTGACTATGCTCTTTTTAAAGAACTGTTTGACACTTTATTATTGTATTTTTAGAATTCTGTAGTCCTCCTCAGGTGTTGTAAAGGTCAAACCATGTTGGAAGTGTGGGGTCATACACACGAGTTCACCGCCTCTACCTCTGCCTGTGCTGCGTTTAGTAGCAAGGTCTGAAGGAGGCTTTGAAGCATGTTCACTTGAGCAAATCGGGGACACCGATCGCCCAGGGTTCCTGATCCTGGCGGGGCTTGTAAGAGTGCTCAAGCGAACATACTTCCAAGCTCCCCCCCCCACCACATTACTGCTGAATGCAGCAAGGTTCGGCCTCAAGGGAAGGAGGCTAGTGCCATGCCTCCGACACAGTTTGACTTGCATAATGCCTGAAAAGGACTTGTGCTTTTCTTTATAAACTACCCTAGTAATTTGCATTGAAAGGTACTGGATACCTAAAGCTACCTCCTAAGGCAGTTTGCAGACCCCTCCACCCCACCCCCAAAAGGGAAAAGAACATGTCTGTGGTAGTGATCTTGATAGTGTCCTACTGACCTTCCTTAGACAATGGGATGATGTGAGAGATGGAAATTAGTGACTGAGGTGGAAAAAGATAAGCCGTCAAACACTTTCCCTTCAGAGAATTGTGCCGTAATAGACATCACACGTTATGTGAGCAAGCTGGGGAGAGCTGGAGAGTTCTGGAAATGAAATGGCAGTGACCACTCCCTATTGTATTAAGGAGAGAGTTCCATAAACCTTTAGTAAAACCTCCCTGGAACCGCTGTATAATTTTATTTTTATTATTTGTTAACGATTCCTTAGTTTACCAAAATATGTGCATTGTCTCTTTTTTTCGAGTTGCGCTTTCTACAGATCAATTTCATTTGTTGTGAGACATTAGCGTTGCATGCAGTATTAGGTTGGGAGGAAAAGAGGGGGACACGGTGAGGGGGGTGGGGTGTTGTGGTTATGCTTCTATTCTTCTACTTAGTGTACATGTGGGGTTTTGTGTCAGCGTCGCTTGTATGGATTCTTTTACTATTCGCTTGTTATATTTCATTGGTGGTGAGAGAGTTTAGGGGTGGCCTCGGGTGTGGTTATCGGGGTGCTGGTGGCGCTGTGGTCTAAACCATAGAGCCTAGGGCAGGGGTCAGCAAACTTTTTTAGGAGGGGGCCGGTCCACTGTCCCTCATACCTTGTGGGAGGCCAGACCCACCCCTCCCGAAAGCACCCCCTTCCCCAAAGGCCCCTGCTTGGCGATGCCACTCATGCTGCAACCGCCGACGCCACCTCCTCTTTGGCAGTGTCGGTGTCCTCCATCTTGTCACAGAGCCCATGCCGCTGACCTGGGCGGTGGAGGCAGCCTCCTCGCTGCTGCCGCTTCCTTCCCACTCGGCTGCTTCCTCCCATTGGCCGCCTCAGTGGGAAGAAAGGGGCGGCGCCCAGAGGCATCCACGGCTTTTGATTGGCTACAGGAGCTTCCTGCAGCCAATCAGAAGCTGTGCCACGTCACGGAAGTCAGCCTCCACGCGGTGAGGCCTCCGTGCTGTGCCTTTTTAGCGCGGGGACTGAACTAGTGGGCGGCAGGGTCCTCAAGGTATGTGGGCCGGATTAATGAGCCCAGTGGGCCATATCCAGCCTGCGGGCCTTAGTTTGCCAACCTCTGGCCTAGGAATTGCCGATCAGAAGGTCGATGGTTCAAATCACTGCGACGGGGTGAGCTCCCGTTGCTCAGTCCCTGCTCCTGCCAACCTAGAAGTTCGAAAGCATGTCAAAGTGCAAGTAGATAAATAGGAACCGCTCTGGCGGGAAGGTAAACGGTGTTTCCGTGCGCTGCTCTGGTTCGCCAGAAGCGGCTTAGTCATGCTGGCCACATGACCCGGAAGCTGTCTGCGGACAAACGCCGGCTCCCTCGGCCAGTAAAGCAAGATGAGCGCCACAACCCCAGAGTCATCTGCAACTGGACCTAACGGTCAGGGGTCCCTTTAACCTTTACCTTTAGGGTGTGGTTGGTTGTCTTTGGTTGGCGTAGTGAGATTTGTTTATGTGTGTGAGTGTGGGGTGTGTGGGTGGATTTTTGGATCAGGTTAGCCAGATTGATTCGTATGCTGTCGGCAGATTCTTGTTGTTTTGTTGGGCTATGTATGTGATAAAGGGGAACCATACTGGGGTGAAGGCGTCTTCTATTGGTCCCCGTATCAGTTTCAGTTTATTGGTTAGTTTTTCTAGTATGGCTATTTCCCATACTATTTGATACCATTGGTCCATGCTTACTCCTGACAGGTCTCTCCAGTGTCTGGCTATAATGTTTCCGGCTGCTGAGAGTAGGTGGGTTATGGGCTCTTTATAATGTGAGTGGGGATTATGATCTTGGAAGATGTTCAGTAGGTCCAGTTCTGGGGGGAACCGCTGTATAATTGACATTACCTGACACACTGGGAAACGAGCTGTACAAAAGCCTTGTGAGCATCCATTAAGTATGATTCATCCGAAGATGGCACAGTGTTCTTCCTGCTATGTTAACAACCTCATCCTTGGCTAGGCTCTTAGCAATATTAATGTTTTTTTATATTGGATTTTAACATATTCTCTCTCTTGTTTTCCATCCCCTCTAGTGTACCCTTGGAATCCCCTGTCAAAATCAGAATATTAAAGGGGCATGGAGATTCACCTACTCTTCCCATAAGAGTCTCTAATTCTTGCTATAAAAAGAGACAGTAGAACAGGGGTTTAGTTGGGAGCTATGTAGATGTTCCTTTTTAAGAAAGTCATCTCTTCAGCTAATGATACTGTGAGAATCACAAATGCAAATGAGCCATTATCTATTTGTCCATTGTTTGGAATCCAATAGAAACCAATGTATGTTGCTAATCTGATGAAAAATGCCCCCTATATTTTAGAAATGTTTTATGCATCTACAGATATAGTTAAACCTTGGAATTTGTATATAATCGAGGGTGACTATCCCCAAATTGTTAAAATGTAGAGGGCTGTGTGTTGAAAAACATGTTCTCCTGTCTTCATTTTAATTCAGGACAGGGCCACTCTATGATTCTAAACACACTTAACTGAGAAACGAACTCACTGATATTAACAAATATCAAATATCCAAACAAATGTGCTGAAAATCAAAATATTGGGCCTGCCTCAGATGTAGTTCATGCTCTTAGGACATCTGTCTAGGGCAAAATCTTTCAGCTGTGTGGTGGAGAACATAACAACCGAGTGTTTAGAATATGGAGTTGGTTTATAGAATCATAGATTCATAGAACTGTAGAGTTGGAAGTGATCCCAAGCGTAATCTAGTCCAACCCCCTGCAATGCATACATACACATACATAGATATACACTGTCCATAGGAACTGGCATCCCCATACAGTAGTGAGTTTCCAACCCACAGATGTATTATCTATTACCACTTAGTCATATGAATAAGCACTAGGGTTGCCAGCCAACTGAGGGGAAAGACCCAGACTGGGCAAAGTTGTTAAGCTGGTGAGTTTTTTTTAGTTTTGCATTAAAAAATTATGTTTTGCTGATTTCTACCTGGACACTGCTACCAACTATGGTATTACAGATTTGTTTGAGAAGTATGGCACCCATTGCTATTTCCCATGTCTTTTTGTGGGCTTTCCAGAGGCATATGGTTGGCTGTTGTTGGAAACAGGATTCTGACCTGAGCCAGCAGGGTTTTTATTGTGTTCTTTACTTGAAGGGCAGGCAGACCTAATCAGAATCATTAGGAAGTTACTGCACAATGGCTTTGATTCATGCAACCACTCTAACTAGATTAGCCTTGCTAAATTTGTGCCTTCCACAGCCATGCTGACTGGGACTGATGGAAGCTGTAGTCCACAATATCAGGACACAGGGTTGGCAAAGGCTGTCACAGTTTCCCACCCCTCTGATACAAGCTGAAATCTCATAAGATTGTATTCTTTATTTTGTCCATTCTTATTTTACTTAATTTCTTTACAGGCCACATTAATCCCTCCAGTCACCCTGTAAAGCTCAGAGGTGGGGAACATTTAGGCTTGCCAGATGTCACCATACTACAACTTCCATCGTCCCTGACTATTGACCACTTTGACCTGGGCTGATGGGAGTTGGCATCTGATAACATTTGAAGGGCCAATCAGTTCCCAAGCTCTGCCATAAACAAGTTGCTTTTATGGCACATTTTTCCACAGCTGGTGAACAAAGAGAAAATGCCTTACCCATTGACACCCTGTAATTTCCCACTTCTGAGTGGTAATTTAAATCCTGGTCTCTCAGATTCAAGTGCAGAACTCTAAACAGGAGGCCAGACGGCCAAGATGCCTCATCCCCACCCTTCATGTCTATTTATCTCTTTGAAACAGAACGTGAAAATGATTGGGGTGTGTGTGTGTGTGTGTGTGTGTGTGTATGTGTATATAGATAGAGAGCGAGAGAGATATGTGTGATATTATGCTTTATAGAATTGTACATTCATTTCTTTTGTGGATTTGAACTTGTTCTGCCTTGGCCAATGCTTTCTTGCTCATACAAACATCTTGACACACAACTGAGCCACACCAGGTGGTGATCTATGGGTTTTCCACTTCTCATTCCATCCCAAACACAGTGGCTGAGAGGTACTATTTCAGTAGAGACTGAGGCAGCTATGAGAACAAAGGCTTCCGCAGAGAGATAAGTTGAAAAATGATATTTTTCAGCTTGGTTTTCTAGATAATGCTTAATAGATTGTCCAAAGAAATTCACTGAGGAGATTGAAATTCTCTGTTTATGACAATCACTGCAGACCCAATGGGCCTTGTCAAACCTAGTTACGCTGAATCAGGAATTTATAGTATATTATTCTTTTTGATTGTCATTTGGCTCCCTCAGGGAAAAACCCACAAATTAAATTGTAAATGTTACATCGTATTACATCACATTAAACCTTGGTGCATACTTGAAGTGCCATGAGATTGACAAATTAAAATTATGGCAGTGAAAAACTTCGGCAGTAGGAAAGTACCGACTTTAAACAGCCTGGAGGCAAAGCTTCTTTGCTTGCTTCAAAATATGTATAATATTCCTGTTCTCCATCAAATGAGCAACAAGATGGCATGGTCTGATATGGTCTGATGTGTGTTTTAGGCAAGGCAGAGGTGAGATATCAAACTTGAGCGTGATGGTTCACAGCTCACCCACTACACTATTGTTCTTCTACAGTAAAAGCTTTCCTTAATAATAATAAATAGCACCCCTAACATGCTTGGTGTTTTACAAAGTAGCACCAAAGACAAGCCATGTCCTATGGAACTTGCGATCTAAAATTCAACACAGGGTAGGTCTCAAGGTCAAGGAAGACTTACACAATTATACTGTAATTATACTGTAATCTTACATACTTTCCTCTCTCTAAGACAAGAACAGCAAGAGGGAACCTCTCACCACCCAGATACAGCCAAGCCCAGTGCCATCTGGTGCCTAAACTGTGTAATGTCGCAATCCGAAAATAGAAGGAGGAAAATTGTGTGTTCAGTTCAGTCACATACAAACCTTTCTGGCACATCTCTTATCTGTATATTTTATTCTATTTTAGTTGTACCAGTAGATAAAAATTGGAATGGCTATGGAAACACTGAACAAATCATTGACAGGTAGGAAGAGGCCCAACTGAATCACAGAACTCTAGGGCATGATGAACTCTTTGCCATCCTTTGGAGACATTCAGCTGCACACAGACATGAACATCAATGTCTGAAGAAGGGAGAAGAACCAGGGCTAAGGATTACAGGAAGAAGAGCTTGTTGGGAGAGCATTGAGGACAGGAATGAATTGAAGATGGAAACTTCAGAGTGTAATGAGGGGGCTTCTCTTGACTTTCTGGTCCTTAGGGAGCAATAGGGGATTGCTAACTACATAACTTCTTTAGATAAAGCAGTGCTGGTAAATTGTCTAATTGCTTGTTGGAATTTGGCCAAGTTTGGAACAAAGAAAATCTGGCTTGTGGTGCTGCAACTACCCTCTAGAGGGCAGCATTGATGTCTACATATTTTTATTTCCCTGCCACCTTACTGTCGGCAGCTTAGAGCAGACAATAGATCTGTCTTGATCTGCGGTATTTGGACAATGGTGGATTGCAAAGGCAAGCAGTGCTTGGCTTTTCTCTTACAATAGCTGAGATTTTAAGTGATGGTAAATTCTTGGAGTGCTGCTTTAAAAACTAGCTCCAGGGGATGGCTAAAGCCACAGAACAATTAATATAAGTGTTTTAATATGATTTGTAAAAATGACTGTCCACAAATTAAATTAGTAAGTGGGTGTGATAAACTTCATCAATTTTACATTTTTTGAAACTTGCTTATTATTAACCTTAATGCAGATGCCTTTTTGAGGATATTGAAGGATGCTTGAGATAACCTACAATTTAATAAACAAATGCTACCACTTGTTCAGGTGCTCAAATGCACAGCAAGGGATAGAGTGTGGCTGTTGGCTCCACCTGTGCATGTGTCCAGTGCAATGTCTTAAGGAGTTGTG